TATTGTAATCAACTTCCCCACTCCTCATCCCCCTTTCCTTGCTTTATTATTTCCGCAGCACTTATTGCCATCTAATATACTGTATAATTTTCTTATTTTATTTATTGTCTCTCTCTCTCTCTCCACACTAATATGTAAAGCTTATGAGAACAGCGATTTTTGTCTGTTTTCTTCATTGTGATATTGTTACCACATAGAACAGTGTGTAACACACAGCTGATTTTCAATAAGGATTTCCTAGGAGACTGAATGACTGAATGAAAGAAAGAAAGAAAGAAAAGGAAAAAAAGAGAAAGAACAAAAAGAAAGAAGAAAGGGGACCCTGGCTAGGTTACTCAGTTGCCCCAATAAGCCAAGGTGGCAGGTTCGATCTCTGGTTAGGGTACATATAAGAAGCAACCAATGAATGCACAAATAAGGAACAACAAACCGATATCTCCCTCTCTCTCTCTCTCTCTGCCCCCCTCATTTCCTCTCTCTCTAAAAACCAAATAAATTTTAAAAAGAAAAGGAACACAAAGAAACTTGCCTAAGGCATTGTGACAGTTAATACGGTAATATTTCAAAAACTTATATGGAACCAAATATGACTGCGAATAGCCTCAACAATCTTGAGAAAGACGAACAAAGTAGGAGAGATCACAATACCTGATATCAAACTATACTTACAAGGCTGCTATAATCAAAACAGTCCAGTACTGGCATAAAAACAGACACACAAATCAATGGAACAGAACAGAGAGCCCAGAAATAAACTCATGTCTCTATGGTCAATTGATATTTGACAAAGGGGGCAGGGGCAACCAATGGAGTAAAAATAGGCTCTTCAATAAATAGTGCTGGAAGATCTGGACAGGTACATGTAAAAAAATTAAACTAGACCAGCAACTTAGACCATACACCAAAATAAACTAAAGATGGATAAAAGACTTAATTGTAAGTCATAACACCATAAAAGTCATAGAGGAAAACACAGGCAATAAAATTTCAGATATCCCATGCAGCAATATTTTTACCAATACATCCTCTAAAGCAGGGGTGTCAAATTCATTTTCACGGTGGGGCCACATCAGCCTCAAGGTTGCCTTCAAAGGGCCAACTGTATTTTTAGGACTGTATAAATGTAACTACTCCTTAACTAGAGGCAAGGAGCTCAGCATTGCCACTGGGTAGAAACAAGGTGCTGGGCTGGAAAAAATAAGGTGGAGGGCCGGATTCGGCCCACAAGCCTTGTGTTTGCCACCTGTGCTCTAGGGCAAGGGAAATAGAGGAAAGGAAAAAGAAATGGGACTACATGAAATTAAAAAACTTCTGCTCGGCTAAAGACAACATCATCGAAATGAAAAGGGATCCAATCATATGGGAAAACATATTTCCTAATGATACCTTGGACAAGGGTTTGATCTTTAAAATACATAAAGAACTCACACAACTCCACACCAGGAAGACAAACAATCCAATTAAAAAATGGGCAAAGGACCTGAACAGACACTTTTCCAAGGAGGACATACAGAGTGCCCAGAGACATATGAAAGGATGCTCAGCATCACTAGCCATCAGAGAGATGCAAATTAAAACCACAATGAGATACCACTTCACGCTGGTGAGAATAGCCATCATAAACAAATCAACAAACAAGTGTTGGAGAGGATGTGGAAAAAAGGGAACCCTAGTGCACTGTTGGTGGGAACGCAGACTGGTACAGCCACTGTGGAAAACAGTATGGAATTTCCTCAAAAAATTAAAACTGGAACTGCCTTTTGACACAGCAATTCCACTGCTGGGATTACACCCTAAGAATCCTGAAACACTAATTCAAAAGAACCTATGCACCCCAATGTTCATAGCAGCACAACTTATAATAGCCAAGTGCTGGAAACAACTTAAGTGCCCATCAGTAAGAGTGGTTCAAAAAACTGTGGTATATTTTACACAATGGAATACTATGCAACAGAAAGAAGGAACTCCTACTTCTTGGCAGCATGGATGGAACTAGAGAATATTATACTAAGTGAAATAAGCCAGGCCACCAAAACAAATATCATATGATCTCACCTATAAGAGGAACCTAATGATCAAAACAAACAAATGAGCAAAACAGAACCAGAGGCACGGAAACAAGAAACAGACTGACAGTGACCAGAGGGGAGCAGGGAGGGAAGGAAAGAGTGGAAAGAAGGGGAAGGAACTAGTCAAGGAACATGTATGAATGACCCATGGACATGGACAACAGGGTGGGGATTGCCTGTGGGAGCAGGTGGGTGGGCTGGGAGAAGGATAGAACAGGGGGAAAATTGGGACAATTGTAATACAACAATAAAATATTTACTAAGAAAATACGGTGTAGCGAGATCTGCTTGGCATCAAAGGCCATACCATTCTGTTATAACATCAGTTAAGAAGCCTCTATTTAAAAAAAAAATCTTAAGAATTTAAATAAGCTCAATAAACAGTAACATTGAAAAAAGAAAGAGGCAAGCCAACTATCTTTCCTGAACAATTAGAAAACAACTAAATCAAAACTATTTACTTAGAATTCGACTATAAATAACTTTTTTCAAAATCACAAATGTATATATAATTCCTTCTTTTAAAAGTAACTAAAATTAAAGATAAATTTAAAAGGATTGGAGAGTTCTGCTTTCAATCAAGATGGAGTAACAGGAACTAAATTTACCCTCCTGTTTGAAACAACACTCTGCTTTCAATAAACAAAAACAGACAAAAATATATAAGATATTGATTTATAAAACACTGAACATCAGGCAAAGCAGGAGAGTGATTCCTGAGAGACAGGAAATAAATGAGGTGTGAGTAGTGAATGCATTGAGAAAGTATGGACGCCAAAACATAGTGAGAGGGAACTCAGACTGAGCCCAGCAAAGTCCTTGAGTTGAAGAGACAGGGCTGAGAGTCTAGAAATAACAATGCAAATAGAAGCTACAAAACAAAGTATCGGAGAAGACAGATCTACTCACAGAGAGAACACTGAAGATCTCCAGACCATCCACCTTCATCATTCAGAAGTGTACTGATTTGTATATGTGTGGGAAAACTACCCAAGGCCAAACAAATAACCATCTGAGAGGATTAGATAGAACAGTGCCGGGTACCAGGAATAGTGCCTGTTCCTACTGGCCAGGCTAGACAAAAACAAAACCTAGAGAAAATTCATTAGGCATTGAGGAAAGTACTCCAAAGTGGGAAACAGTCAGACCTAGACTAAGCACTGTTCCAATCATAAAAGGAAGACCCAAATGGATCAAACTGTTTCCAAATAACTACACCCCACAACAAAGATCAAGATGAGCTGTAAAATACAAAATATATGGCAACCAAGAAGGGAAAATTGACAATGTCTGCCATCCAATGAAAGACTAGGAGGCATGGGGGTAAAAAACAAAACAGGAAAATATAACCAAAACTGAGAAGAAATATCAACCATTTAAAACTGATCCAGAAGTAAGAGAGATGCCAGATAGCAGACATGGAATTAAAAGTATTCTATATGTTCAAAGTGGTAACTAAAGACATAGAAGATTTTTTTAAAGGCCCTAGTCAAGTTTATACACTTCAAAATAAAAATGCCTGACTTGAAAAATAAACTGGATGAGATTAATGGTAAATTAAACATTGTAGAAGAAAAGATTAGTAAACTTCTGCTAAATATATAAGGTTTTTTAAAAATATTGAAATCTCTTTAAAACACAATTGACTTTTTAGACAAAAATAACAATGCTGTACTTTGTGTTTATAAAATAGGTATAAGAAAAATGTTTGACAAGAACATAAAGACCAGAAAGGTAAAACAGAAGTATATTATTCTAAGGCTCTTATACTATATATGAAGTGCTAAACATTACTTGGAGGTAGACTGTAAGTTAAAGACCTGTATATGGATATCCACTGCAACTCATGTGCAATAACCAAAAACTGAAACCAAGCCAAATGTCTATCAATACATCAATGGATAAACAAAGTGGGGTACATTCATATCATAGGATTTACTAATAACAAAAAAATGACATGTTAATACACACAAAAAAGTGGGTGAATCTTAAAATAATTATACTGAAAGAAACCAAAGAGCGTGTAGCGTATGATTACATTTACATAAAACTCTAGAAGACACAAACTAACTTATAGAGAAAGAATAGAGATCAATGATTGCCCAGTGGTGAGAAGGGACAAGATGGATTACAAAGGGCACAAGGGAACTTTTGAGAGTGATGGATATCTTGATTGTGGTGATGGTTTCTTTTACATATGTAAAATTTATTGAATCTTACCCATTGAAATATGTGCAATTTTTTGCATGTACACAATTCCTCAACAAAGCTGTTTAAAAATAATTCTGGACTTCAATTTAGGTAAAAAAAAAATACTTAGACTACCTAGAGTGCTCTGGCTCACAGAGTAAAAATAAAATAGATGAAAGTTAGAACTAATAAAATATTTGTGATATTTAAGGGTTGGGATGGATCAGAGAAACCAACTACTCAAGTACTTTCTTATTTGAGATAAAAGAGTTCGAGTCTCAGAAAAGTACAGTAACTTGGCCAAGGTCCTACAGCTGGAGTTAAGGGCTTACTACACTGTTTAAGATCCACGATGGCAGGGACTCTGTTATTCAGGTCACCACTGTATCCTTTATACATAGTACAACGCCTGGGACATAATAAGAGTTCAATAAATATTTGTTTAAAAGGTGGGTAAGAAGATAAAAGAAAATCTCCCTTGAAATATGACTGAAAGTTTCTCCCTAACTTCAATTCTTCAAACTCTTTACACACATGAGAAAATTAAGCAGTACCTTTACTATCATAAAATATAAAAAATTATACTCCATATTTTTAGCTTACTGGATATTTTATTATATTCTACTGCTTAAAAATTTTTAATTCAGGCAACCAACTCTTAAACAGGCAGAACAGAAAACACTCCAGTCATGAAGATTAATGACATTTTCAAATTTTAGAAACTTAAAGAAAAGTGCTTACCAAAAATTTCTCCATGTTTGACATCCTCACAAGGTACCACATGTTTTTGGTCTCCATTACCTATTGATAAAAATTCCATATTAGTCTGACAGGAAAGAATTTCAATTTATAACAACATTCTATTGAGTTACTTGTTTTAAAACTACTAATAAAAGTATTGAAATTATGAATAATTTGAAATTGGCAAAGTTCATAAGACACAATATCCTGATGCTAACACTCTGGTAGAAAATCCAGAGTCTTGCTCTTTCAAGGGTGTCCATGGACCAGCAGCAGCAGCACTGCCCAGGTGCCTGTCAGAGATGCAGGGTCTCAGTCTCCACCCCAGACCCGCTGACACAGAATTGACATGTAACAAAATCTTCAGGTGATTATTATGCACATTCAAGTTTCAAAAATATTAATACAGGTAACAGGAATTTTGAAGATCAACTTTTTACCACCTCCTCACTAACTTTTTTAGCCTTGTTTACATGGTAGACTCTGATTAAGAAAAGGATAATAAAATACATAGCTCAGTTTATTTGGCCTGTAGCCTAGCTAATATGGCACAATGTGATTTTTTCCTACTATAATATTGTAACATAGAATTATTACTTTAAAACATTGTTCAAGAGCTTCTTTATAACTCCACTGCTACATACTTTTATTTAAATTAGTTTTTCTAAGTTCAGAAAGGAAGCCTGTCATTTTTATAAACTTGATTTTTCAAACTACGCTGAACCGAAAGGAAATGAATTTGTAAGATTCAAAAGGAGTGAATTTTAGATTACTTCTCTGTAACACTCCTAACATTTTATATGTGGCACATGCTACTAGCATCAGGTGGAGCTGCTGTGTGCTGAAGGGCTAACGTAAATCTGCCCTCACATGCAGGTGTAGAACTATTCCCTATCCGACCACGAAACTAAGAACTACCGTCATGTTGGGTCTAAGCAAGTCAAATGGTAAATCATTTAACTGATTATTTAGTCCAAATAAACAGAATTACCATGTGAAGCTTGGCAATTTTAATGTGAGTTTAGCTTATGGTTCATCAGAGGCTTCTAAGAATGTGATCATTTTCTTTTGACTATCTGCTTTAGGAACTTTCTTTTAAAGAGTGTAACGGGAGAAATACTCTCATATAAATTTGACCGAAGAGATCCTCTATAATTTTAGAACTTCAGGAATTGTTTTGAGTGACACCCCATAGTCTCTAATTTTTAGCTAATGATAATACTAATGATCCCCACATCTTCCATTGCAAATTTCTATCAATAAAATGTTGTTTAGCCAAATACAGATATGTATATACGTACACATGTACATGTATATGTACATAAAAATAGGTACATGTATTTATGAATATATAAAGAGACAAATTACATACTTCTGCTATGGTATAAATACGTTATACACATTAAAGATGCACACAAGGAAATAAATCTAAAAAATAAACATAATCAGCAGTTCTAACATTTTCTTAAACCCCAATGGTATTATGCCCACAGTGGTACTAATACTAGGTAGGTCTGTGAGGGGGAGAAAAAGGCCCTCACTTGTAAACCAACTTCTGTGGTATATATACTACAGAAGCATATATACTACCACCACCGATTTTGAGACACTAACATGATTTAATCAACTTGCAAATTTTCTGAAAATTTAAAAATCTGCTCAGCACCAAGTTTAGCCTTGGTTGCTGTTGGCAGGTCAATGGGAGGGATTTACCCAGACCAGTCAGCTGCAAGAACTGGCTGTAACCACCAACCACCAACCTCAGCCCTCCATGGAGAATCAGCTGTGTGCAGGGGGCAGAGTGGTGGTGCTCCAAAGTGGTTAGTAGCTGTCCACTGGGTATGCTGACCGGAGGGGTTCCAGAGTGGTGCAGGCCAAAGTCAGCCCCCACTTTTGTTTTGTCTGGGCCACCCTTCCTAAACTATAAAGCAATCTGAGAAGGCTGCTCCTTATGCTGGGCTTGGAGATTTCCAGAAGCCAAGCTGTGAAACTAATCTGGCTGCTGCTATTGCCTGGCTTGGGGCTCACTGAGGCCAGCTGTTGCTTGTTTGATAGGATTTAGAAAGCTGTGAAGCATTAGCCAAGACCAGTTATTCATATGGAAAAGCAGCTTGGGGGATCTCTAAGGCAGCTCAAACAGCATTAGCCAGGTTGATGGAGTCTCCAATACAGTACCAGCCTGCAGGCTCAGTGGCTCTATGGGGGAGGGCTATGTTCCTAGGAACAAAGACAATGGCATTTCAAGGTGAATAACTAGGTAATCAGAAATCAACAATCATATACTTTTTTTTCATGCAACCCAAAACCCCTAATTTAAAAACAATAGTAGATATTTGGTTAGGAAACATGCCATTCTGATTTAAATAAAATTTTCAGATAATTAGCACCCAAATTTAATTATAATAAGTTATGAAGAAACTAAAATGTATTTCATATTCTATGTACATATTTTGAACACAATTTAGTTTTATGTTGTTTCAGGGTAAATTTTAATATTAATTATTGTATGTGTTATAATAGTTCAAAACTCTTATGAGGTATCCAACAAAATAGGACTCAGCTTGTCAATTCCCTCAGACTCCTGTTTATACAGTTAGTTTTTTCTTCTTTCCTTAGTGCTACTCTGTCCTTTGCTGTTATCTCTACTGTAAGGTTTATTTCTTACTTTATCTGTATTACAAATTTGCTGTCAAAGCTTGTTTCCTGATTTGAATTAATTGTAACTCACAGAAGAACTCAAGTTCCCAAAGAAATCAGATTACCAAACATAATGCGTAAAATTAATTTTTTGCCTAAGAGGAAAAGTGACGATACCCTCTTAGCTAGGCAGTAAAGTGCACAGGTTTTGCAATAGGTATTTTGATTATGTTTGTTAGTGTTTTGCTTCTAAAATCAAAATATTCTGGAAAGAAGTGCTAAACTTTGCTAGAAAAGAGAATACAACACAGTATTATCTTTTTCTTTAACTAAAAGTTGACAGGTAACCCTGGCTGGCATAGTTCAGTGGATTGAGTGCAGACTGAACCAAAGCATCACAGGTTCAATTCCCAGTCAGGGCACATGCCTGGGATGCAGGCCATGGCCCCCAGCGGCCCCCAGCAACTGCACATTGATGTTTCTCTCTCTCTCTCTCCCTTCCCTCTCTCTCTTAAAAAAAAAAAAAGTAGAAGAAGAAAAAAAAGTTGACAGGTAAAAAAATAAGTATATACTTGAGTCTCCTCCATATTCCTTAAGAGGGTAATGTAAATGTATTTTGAAGAAAATGTGTTGCCCTACAATTTTCTGGAGTGCATACCACTAACCTCTGCCCAACAAAAAACTGTAAAAACAAAACGGGTTGACCTACCTACTGTATTTTGCCACATATGCTGCACTCCCATGTGTAATGCACAACCACATTTTTGTGCACATTATACATAGGATTATTATGCCCATTATCATACTTGTGTAAAATGTGCATCTTTATTTTTTTCCCTTAAAAATTTGGACAAAAAAGTATGCATTATACCCAGCAAAATATGGTACAAATAGAAAAAGAATTGGAGTTGAAAGAATTATGGTTTTTAAAATTGCAGTATGACTGCTGTCATCAAGAAAATTTTTTATTATATGTAATATGAGGGGGACCCAAAAAACCCAGAATTATCTTCTAGACAGTAGGACCCCTGTAGTACAGGCTTCCCCCACCAAGTGAATGTTCTAGGAACCCATCTGTATCAGCATACCAGCTGGCACTGTTGTGAGAGGCTGCGTTCAGCTTCAGTTAATTTTTCAAAGACCCTTTCAATGCATCTGCCCATTTCATGAAGCACACCTGCCCACACCACACTGAGTGTTCAGCAGTTTCTGACCAAAAATGGCATGACCCTGGTGCCCCACCCTCACCCCAAGCAACTTTTTTTGTTTTCCCATATGAAAAAAATCTTCAAATGGAAACATTTTGCCACGTGGAAGAGGTGAAACAAAAAACCGCAGAAGCATTAAAAGACATCAAAATTGATGAGGTCAAAAACTGTGTACTGCATCAAATAGTAATACTTTGAAGGTGACTGAAGTTTAAACGTAAGACTAAATACACAATTGTTTATAAATAAATTCAGGGTTTTCTGTATCCTCCCTTGTACACTAAGTATCATATTTAATGATAAAGGAAAAATCTGGATACTAAATACCAATTAAAGCAAGGCAGTACCAAGAGGTATCGCTTCTTTTACATGCTTTTGGACCATGGCCTCAAATAATTAAAAAAGTGAAAAAAATATAAATTATCTAATTCCCTCCTCAATTTTATCTTGATTCACAGATATATGTATCACAAGTCTATGTATTTATACCATCATATTGATACCCCTTGTTTATGGCTGCTATAATATTAGGAAAAGGTAAAAGACTAAAGAAAAAATGGAGCATGTGTTAGCATGCTTTTGCTTATAATAGTAGGAGTAACAAGAAGACCCCAAGAGTAATTATTCACACATAGCAATTTATTTCTTGCTCATGTAGCAAAACCGAATGGGTGAAAAGTTAGAAGGCGGCCCTCCTCCATGAAGGCACACAAAATATAAGGAGGCCTACTGCCTTTAATGGATAGCTTCCCTGGTTCCCCTGAACACTGTCTCCATTCTAGGCAGACAGAGGATAAAATCTCAGAGGATCCCTCATATGAGGTTTTTATGGCACAATTATTTGTTTACTCCATTAGTTAGAACTCAGTCATGTAACCATACCTAAATGCCAGAGGGGCCAAGAAAGAGTCCAACTGTAGGTGCAGGAAGAAAAGGAAACAGTGGATTTTGGGTGATCAGCTCTCTGCCACACTCTTCCAGGTAATTTCTTAACAATGGGATTCTTTACCAAGTACTTCTCAGAAATATGATGATGATGACCTTCACAACTGCACAGCACTATTTAAAAAAATACTTTAACATATTTTAATAAAAGTTTTGTCATTTATTTCTCAACTTTGTAAAGCAAATGGAATAAGCAGTTGCACCATGAGTTGATGAAACTGAGTTTCAAAGACACTACATAATTTACAAAGGTTCTAAAGCCCAAGTGAA